CTGGCTGTGTGTGTGCGCGCTCTGGCAGCTAGGACCCCCGAGGGGCCAGGGCAACTGGGAGCCTTGGGGCTGCCCCAGCATGGCCAGGAGCTGTGGTGGGCAGGGGAGCAGTGGGCCAGGGCCCACTGGGAGCACCCATGCCAGCCTGGAGGCCAGCACCCCTCCCATCCCTCTCCAGCAGCCCCGGGTCCTTTGCTCCAGATGCCTTCCTCCTTATGGCATCTCTGTCCTGCTGCTGGTCACGCAGGGGGGTCTCAAATATTATGACTGCAATATCCTTTGTGTTATTAAGGTTGAAAAATCACCGGATTCCCTGGGGAATGTTTCTCTCCTCTGTAGGGCTGCCAATCTGCCCCATACTGCTGAGTCACCAGGATGCTTTCCTCTGAAAGAAGGAAACAGCAGTTTCCAAAATGACTTCTGGGTAAGGCTGATCCTGTTTCATATTTGTTGTTTCCGTTACGCTAAGCGCTGTACAGAAAGAATGGTCTGACATAAAAACACTCTGCAAGAATGCTCCCTGAAACAATGCAATGCTAATAACTGTTTTCCAAGAACGAGGGCTACATTTCCTCCTATTCATCCTGCCTGCCAGTTCGGTGTGAAGTCTGCGGGTCTGGTGTTCCCCTCCGCGAGGCTGCCCGGCACGAGACCTGCGCGCGTGCCTGGGGACGCGGTTACGGACTGAGTCAGACTGTCAGCCTGGGGAGGCAAATGCCAGTAAATGGCCACTGCAGATGTCGGGGGCTCTGCCCTTTGCCCTCCCCACCCTTCCTGGCTGGTACGCCCGTACCGTCCCTGCCCCTCCATCTCACCCAAGGCGTGCGTCCCTCCCTGCCTGAGCGCAGGGCCAGGCACTCACCCTCCATGGGAATAGCTTCAGGTGAGCCTTTGATGCTTTACTGGCAGACCTGCTGCCCTGTGTGATTCCTACCAAAGCCACCAGCTTTCTGCTTCCAAACTCAACTCTGGAGATGCTTCTCCACCCCCAGGCTGCACCGAGCTCTTTTTAGCAAAATGAAATTGCAGTAACTGCCCTCCAGTGGGGCGGACTTTCTCCTGCAGCCTCCAGAGCTGTTGGGATTGCTCAGGCTGATCCAAACCCAAGGTTTCTCTGTAGCTCAGCATCATTTGAGGGTTTCTGCTGGACCTGGACACCGGTGTTTCCTTCACATCTTCAGCTGGGTGCCTCCCTGCCCACAGCTCCAGGGAGAGGATAAACTCTCAGGTCCTCCCCTCCCTCCCCAATCCCTGAGGGTTTGCCTATGCAGAATAGAGGGGATGTAAGGTTATGACATCTTTTCTGTTTCTGAACAAAGCTATGTGAAAATGGTAATGAAAATGAAAACCCTTTTAATTTCTAGGGGGCGACTAGGGATCAATTTTCCAAAGCCCTTTTTAAATTAAAAGCTTTGTTTCAAAGGAGTGGAGATTTAATTCCTTGAAAACAAACAAACAAAAAACCCCCAAAACACCACCGTTCTTCTTTGAGAAGAGCAGCCCTTTTGCTGGTCTCTGCAGGGCAAGAGGAGCTGAGCTCACCTGGGCAGCACCACGTGTGCCTGAGGAAGAAGGGGCTGTGCATGGGGAGCACTGGCACTGGGGCCAGCCCGCCACCGTGATAAACACCGATTTAAAAACCAGTCACACAGGAATCAGGCTTAAATTATGCTATTTTGCTTAACTTCTTGTGCAACTGCTTAGCATTAAAAAAGCCTTTCTAAGCCGAATGATGAAACTATGTTGCTGGGCCCCAAAGGAGGTGGGATGAAGCCAGGGATATTTCTTTGTGAAAGAATGACATGTTGGTGGCATTTAAGCCAGAACAGAAGTAAATTAAACACCTAGATCATAAAAGTACCAGAGGATGTTTTAAAATAGGCTCTTTGCAGAAGTGCATTAGTTGGCTGCACAGCTTCACTGTGTAATGAGCAATATATTAATTTATAATTAGTGTAATACAGTGAAGCTCAGCAAATAGCTCTGTGCACTCTGGATAATTCATCAACAGAAGCAGCAGCTCTTAATGGTTTCCAAGGTTTGCCTGTCCCCTGTAATTGGGAAGTTCAGAATTTACTGTTATTTCTTTTAAGGGGTAATTTGATTGCAACCACACATCTTTATTCCTTGTCTTCTCCCGCTGAAGTGCTCCTGCTGAAGTGCTTTTGGAGTGCTGCAGCTTGGGGTACGTGACCTTTCTGCAGGTTGTTGCAGGCAGCGTTTTGCAGACCAGATAACTTGGGCTTGGTGCAGATTTCTTGCAGGCTTTTACCCTCGCCTCTCCCTGCTGTGGAAGGGGGGTCGGCAGCTTCACCACCTTGGGTCACTCGGCTTTTCCCCCTCTGCCAAAACTGCCTTATCCCTTTCACAGCGCCTGAGGGACCTTCATCCTAAATTCTGCTCTCAAAGCTTTCATGAGTCTCCTGTTCTCATATAACATCACCTGACAGTAGAAATACAGCAGGACAATAATAAATTGTGTGATAACAAGGCTAATTGGAATTTATGGAGCCTTTGGGGATTTTATGTTTCAGTTTGGAAGCTCAGACCCCCATCCCAGAGGATGCAGGGACCTGCTGGAGCAGGACTCATCCCCGCCTGCATGGCGGGTGCCCAGGCTCCCCGGAGAGCCTCCCTCCTGCACCGCTGTATTGTCAGGCTGGGAATCCGCACGGAAACTCCCTGGTGTCAGCAAAGTCTTCTAAAAAGAGAACAAAATTCTCAGGGCTGGGTACTCTGTGCTGAGACAGCCTGGAGACGCCGGTGCCTCATCGGAGGAGGTGGATAAATAAGCTTGAATCTCAATGCAGCGACCCACTGAAAATGGGACGTGACAAATCTTC